ATGATGATGATGATGATGATGATGATGATGATGATGATGATGATGATGATGATGGAAAGTATAATTTAGTTCTAAAAGATCAAGCAGCATATTCTATAGAAGTGCATTAGAATCATGGTACTGATTGAAGTGAATATTTGTAGCTCAGGATTGAACTACAGGTTTGAAACATCTGCAAGAAAACCACTAAGCTCAGAGAGCACCAAGGGCCCCATAGAATTATAGTATCTGTATTTGAACATTTCAATGTGAAGCATACATATTAAATCAATCAATCAGAATAAAGTTAGAAAGGACCTTGGAAATCTAGTCCAGTCCCCTGCTCAAGCAGGAGACCCTATACCATTTCAGACAAGTGGCTGTCCAGTCTTTAAAAAAAATCTCCAGTGATGAAGCATCCACAACTTCTGAAGGCAAGCTGTTCCACTGGTTAATAGTCCTCAGAATTAGGAAGTTTTTTCTTAATTCCAGGTTGCTTCTCATCAAAGAGAGAAGCAATCTGGAATTAAGAAGAAACTTCCTAACTCTGAGGACTATTATCTATTTCATTAGTTTCCATCCATTGTTTCTTGTCCTGCCTCTGGTGCTTTGAAAAATAGTTTGACCCTCCCTCCTCTTTGTGGCAGCCTCTCAAATACTGGAATATTGCTATCATGTCCACCTTAGTCCTTCTTTTCTCTAGACTGGCCAAACCCAAATCCTACAACCATTCTTCATATGTTTTAGTCTCCAGGCCTTTAATATGGATGCCATTACAGGTAGTCCTCGACCAAAATTGAGGCCAAAATTTCTGTTGGTAATTAAGACAGTTGTTAAATCAATTTATGTCCCATTTTATGACTTTTTGCCATGTGATTGTTAAATGAATCCGGCTTCCCACATTAACTTTGCTTGTCAGAAGCTTTCTAAGGTTGCAAATGACAATCCCAGGTTGCCAGGAATCTGCAACCATCATAAACATACATGCCAGTTGCCAAACACCCAAAGTTTGATCACGTGACTGTGGGAATGCTGAAATGGTCATATGTATGAAAACTGGTCATGTCACTTTTTTACAGGGCTGTTGTAACTTTGAACAGTCATCAAATGAATGTTGTAACTTGAGAACTATCTGTAGTGAAATAAAGGCATCCTTAAATGTTCAGAGGTATTTTTATATAAAGTGCTCCTTTAAAAATATAAAATGGATATTAATCAAAGATGGAACCCAGAGGAGTTCCATAATGAACTTACAGCTCTTTACCAGACAGATGTTAACACCAAAACAAGGCCATTTTCTCTTTGAATGAAAAAAAAGTCTAATATCTCAACCAACTCTATGCCTATTCACATGTACTAGAAATCTCCTGATATACTTTGTCCTAAAGGCTAGATTTGTAAATTATAGTTATTACTAATGAGATCGAAATATATCCCACAAGGTTTTCAGAGGCAACTCTTGAATCTTATTGAAGACAGTGCAGTGGAACATTAATCTGATTTAGCATGACAATATTTAAATAATTATGACTTGAAATTTCTATTTTAAGAAAAATTCTGTTTCTATTTTGTTTTATAGTTTATTTATTTTAGGTTTTATATTACTTGTTATATTTGATATTGCTTAATACCAAATATAAGATGCCATATAAAAATTTAAAATATTAAGCAGTATAAACAAAATAGAATAAAACAAAATAAAAGATGGTAAAAGAGAAAAGAAAGTCTTAATAGTGTTATCATTCCATGATTAGGACATCTTATGGTTTCCCATGGAAATCATTGTACATAGAAACTTAACAAATCTAAAGGTAATGGTAGAATTCTAATTACTGGTAGGAAATGAATTGCCTCCCATAAAAAGATACTGGGGAGAGGGGATTGCAAGGGAGTACAATATACATATATGTAAATTAGTATAGAAAAGGCAGTGGGAAAAATACATGTGATAAATGTTTAGGTTCATTCTGATCACAAGGGCATCATCTCTCACAGGGTACAACAAAATAATCAGTGGTGGGGGTTTTCTTTGATCTAGCATGGCCATATTTAAATAATTGTTGGAGTTTAAAATCTTGTTTGCCAAGATTTCTTAAGATATAACACAGCTTTGAAGATTTCTTTTTTTATTTATCCTAGATATTTCTGTGGAATAGAAAGATAAGGGAATTGCTTTAAGTTCACATCATAGTGATTTGATCTGTGACAAATCACTTATAAAGCTTGATAAGCACTTCCAAATTTCCATTTTAGGAATGTAATCACTAGGAGTTTCACAATAAGGTTACCAGAGTTTAAGAGATGTAAACAGGATGTTTCAAGGGAAATTAAAAGGAAATTGTTGTTGATCCCAGGAAGGAAAAAAGGTCCAATTGACCCCAATTAAAGGGGGGGGGGTTGCTGGGGAGTAATAGGATTTCATCTAAAGTGTATAGGGAGGAAGACTTTCCCTTCCTATTCATTGTCACCTAAACAAAAATCGTACTCCACTATTATCTCTTTTGATTAAAAAAAAAAAAAAACCTGAGATTTTAGCCTTATCACTGATTTGATCGTAAGGATTCAATCTTGGTTGATGTTGGAAACTTATAGTCTTATTCTGGAAGAGAGAATGGGTATTTTTTTCCTTTTCACTCCCCTTCAATCTTTTACTACTGCACCGGAAGATTAGGAGCAATTCATGTAAAAAAAAAAAAAAACCAACTTTAGGAAACCTTCCAAAATAACTCCCTTTCCAAGTAAAAATATACTGATATTGACAAGCAGGCATTAATCATACAACACATTTATCTCTGAGTGACTTATATTGCCATTTCATCTTCATTTCATCTGATTCAGCTACTCCTCTACAATTCAAGACTTCAAAATGCAGAACAATTATACTACTGATCAATACAAGGTAAAACCATGGTTAGCTACAAATTTTAAGAGAGAAGAGCAGTTTCTTGTTTGCGTCCTATTTCCCTTGAGATTAACAAGAGGACAAAATGTAGAGTCAGATCCACTGAATAAGAGCTGTCATTGAGACCATCAAATCCCAATTCAGTGAGAAAGGGCAGAAGATTCTTTGTTTTCCCCTTTTTCTTCTTTAAATATTCCTTTATATTTTATGGAGGTCATATTCAATCCTATTTACTAAGCTGTTAAAATGAAAGTGATGAATAACTAGCCCATAGGCCCCAAATAAGCTGAGGTTTTCCCATTTGGAGTGTAGCCTATTCCCTCCACCTCACTTGCCTTGCAATTAAGTTTGAATAAGGATAAAGTATCCCAAATGTGGAGAAATTCCAATTTTAATTTCAAGCTATTAAGAACTGACATACCTGAATTTATAGTTAGAAGAACTCTAGTTTCAAATGATATAAATAGGGCTTTGCTTTCTTTTGATTTCATATTATGTGTACACCAACTTATTTAAATTCTGTATTCTTAAGGATTACATACTGTGAGCTTATCCATAACTTTATTTTGTGATAAAAGAAAAAGACAAAAAACAAAAGCTAGTGTTACAATATTACAAACAAGAACCTATCCAGACTTATCTGGGAACTCACAGGAGTCAACATTACTAAGTAATTTTACTAGCATGCCCCCTTAAAAATGTAATAACAAGATCTTTCTAGAAAAAAAGAACAAGTATAGATATTGAATATTTTATTTCAATAAATAGTTCATTATGGTAGTGCATCATTTTGAGACTATCAACTATTATATAGTAATTTTCTCTAAAATCATTTGTATTTCATTTACCATATAGGCATATCTTAAGATACATTTCAAAGATTATTTGAATTATTTTCAACATCCTATTTTGTATACATATTTTAGAGCTGCTAGAAATTTTAAACTGCAAAAATATATTGTTTAAAATAACAATGCAACTTATTTTCTAATGGAAAGGAGACCTTAGAATTATTTTTCAAATGAGATACAGTACATAAATGCAGCATAACAAATGAATCCTGAAGTGGTATGGAAATCAGTGACTAATATTCTCTATTTTTCAACATTTTAATGTAATTCTTCTTATACAGAGAGAAAATGGAAAGATATGAAGTGTGAAACTTCATTATCAATGATTTCTTTTGGATCACTATACTAATTGAGTCAATAAGAATTAAAATATTAAAAGCATTGTGTATGCTATTTTATTAAATTTTATTGTATAAAATTTAGTATTTTATACAATGGTAAAAGCAAAAATAAATGTAAAGAAAATAAAAAGAACTTAAAAAGGGAGCATGGCAAGTGACTGAATAATAAAAAGATAGAAGAAAGAAAAGTAAGAAAAAATTATATATAAAAGATTGGTTCCAATCTTCTTTATAGCAGTTATAAAATATTTACCTTCTATCCTCCTTCTTCAAGGTTATAGCATAATTCCTTTCTTCCCATATCTTCCCTTTCTAATCATCAAATCCATAAATCACTTCATTGTTTTCCAGTTTTCAGCAAAAAGTCCACAAAGGGTTTCCGGTCACTCATAATTGTACTTGTCTTCTCCTTGATCAAAGAAGTTTTGCCATTTCTGTAAATTCCTCGTCTTCACTAACCATTCCTCTATCGTAGATATTTCAGAATCTTTCCATCTTTGTACATATACTAATCTCACTGCAGTTACTATGCACGAAAATGATCTTTCACAAGTCTTTTCCAGTTGATTATCCATAAGACTCTACAGCTAATACATGTTTTTGACATGTTGGCACAAGGTAAGGAATAATAAAGTTTCATAAAAGGGAATGACATAATCAGCACATATGTAGCATATTGTAGCCATTTCCAATCTGGCATACTCCAGATATGTGTAATATCCTGAATTCCAAGACAGCATTTGTTTAATTCAAGGCAGAGACAGATGGCTGTATTAAAATGTCATCCATCAGTCCTTAAACCACCAGAAAAGCATATTGTCATAATATTGGTGAGAGGAAATGCCCACAGCTACCCTCTCAACTATTGTAATAAAATATGCCATATATTTATGGGAAAAGCCTTGTTGGGAAAATAGAGAAAACATTATTCTAAAACTAGAACACCTGGAAACAATTTTAAGCTGGCTTAGATGAAAGCAGTATTTTCAATATCTGTCAGAACTATTACTGGAGCAGGTTCGTTTAAAGAAACATGAGGATGAACTGTTCTTGAAATAATTAGCTGTACATAATTTGATAATCAGTGTGCAATTATTACAAGCCCACTGCAAGATTTTGTGAGGAAGCAGATGTATATCACACCAATTTAACTCTGTCCTCTGGTTAACCATTCTGATGCATTACATTTGAAGCAACAGGCACCAAACAGGAAATCACTTACTAAGAATGATTGTGCCTGACAATTATTTTAAAAGGCTTTGCATTACAGTAAGAGAAGGTCTCCGAAATTCTGTGCCAAAATGGTTCCAGTGATTTATATAATTAAATAACTTATAAAGGGAATTACGTTTCTCAAACCCTGAAGCCTTAGGGATTTTGCTATGATATGCAGAGAAGAAAGAACTACTAAAACCACCAAACATCATAGCAATTGCAAGTTCAAATTCTGAATGGCCATAGAAACAAGATGGGTCAAAGATAATTGGTCCATAGTCATCTTCAGCTACATTTCCTGACCACAGGTCACCATGAACAAGTGCAGGAATTATTTCCAAGTCATGAAACATTTCTGGAATCTTTGGCTGTAAAAAAAATCAAAAAAAACTCAGAGCTTAAAAAGTGGCCAAAGAATTTTTTTAACTGAGGAAACTACAAGACAAATAGCAGAATATACATGGATTCTAAATGTTTTTTATTTTTTTAACCCTAGTTTTACAAATATATGGATATATTACAAGTTTTGTTGCTTTTACTGGCAACATTGAGAGAGAGAGAGAGAGAGAGAGAGAGAGAGAGAGAGAGAGAGAGAG